GGGGGGTTTGGCAGATAGGGGGGCGCATTGAGGAACCTGGCCTTGGGGCAGCAGAGAGAGTAAATCCGGCCCTGACCGCAGGTAATTATTCCATGTAGGATTATGTCTGAACAGCCGCTGACAGATGTGCCCACTGTCCCCCTGACATTCACTTGAACGGGCTCAACAGCTGCATCTGTTCGGATCCATCTGGGATTCCTGCTCCAAGAATCCGTAGGTTCTTTTGCCGCAGGAATCCCCAGCCGCAGTGTGTGAATGTAACCTTAGTCCCCGTTCACACCTGTGCAGTTTGAAACATTTTGGCCATCGCACGACATAAGGAATCCCATTATTTTCTATGGGGATCCGTCCACACCTATGCAGTGCGCTTCAGTGTGACCTGGAAAATGGTGCGGCGCTTCTTTTCGTGCATTTTTAACCCCATAGGCTTTAATGGGAGTGCATGAAAAACACATGTAACATGCAGGTTCATGTGTTTTAGCCCCCACCCTTCAGTAACATACTTTATTTCAGCTTCATTGACCGAAACATAAACACATAACACCTGAATAGGCACGAAGAACACATTCAAATGCATGAAAAACGCGGAAATAAAAATGCAAGTTTGCTCATGGACCGAGAGCCCGACAGTGTCAGGAGAGAGGAGGGGACCCGGCGGCATACCTCATACCGCCAGGTGAATGTCCTCTCCTCCCTCGTCCATCACCAAGATGGCCGCTGGCAGGCGTCAATTAGACGGCCGCGTATGCGCGATGACACTATCGTGCACGCAACAGGACTCAGAACGCCCGTGCCAGTGTGTTCGGCGCTTGTCTGCCGCCACCTTGGAGGCAAAGCGTGTGACGTCACATGACGGCGACATCACGCGCTGAACGAGCGGTGGCCATATCCGCGCCGCCATTTTGGAGTAGTAGATCTTGGTATACACCAAGATGGTGGCACTTGCACATCTGGTCGCCACCATGTTGGTGTATAGCAAGATCTACTCCAAAATGGCCACCACTCGTTCTGCGGTGTGAGTGTGCGGTTTCTGATTCAGAGGCTCCAAATCCAAAACAACATAAAAAAACATTGAGAAGTTCTTTGAAATCCTTGCAATATCAGGAAGTTGCTTTTCTATAGAAATAACAACTGAAACCTATAGGTCTCTGCTTCTGGGAGCCATGCCTGGCGACACTTCACCGCACGGCAATCATGCACAATTCCGCGCAGATTGCCGCACGGTCAGGAGTCGCCTAGGTGTGCACCGATCGCGCTGTGAGTGCCATTATTTTCTAATAGCACCCCAGTCGTGCCGGGCGGATCGCACGGTTTCCCGCTAGAACAGGACCGCGCAATCCCGGAGGTCTGCACCGGGCCTCAGTTATGGAGCTGGAGGAAGGTACAGTATCAATGGATTAGAAGTGCAGTGACGTCCACGGGTACTCCATTGAGAACTGTGAGTCCCTTTGCCACAGTGGCTGATGGGACTTTAATTCACAGATCCAGTGTATAGATCCCTGCTATCCAATTTCCTGCCATTTTTAGGGCCATGGATAACTCTTAGGACCCATTCACACGTGTGCATTGCCATTACCTGCGTTGCCACAATGCAGGCCAAAGCACCTGCTCCATGGCAGTGTCATTCATTGTGAATGCATCCCCAATGCGCTGTACACTGTAGTGCACCACAACACACAGAGTGTGCATTATGGTGCGCTACAATTTAAAAAACAAGGTCAGACACTTTAACTTTGCCTGTCGGGGTACATTGGCAGCCCATTCATGATTAACGAGCTGCCTTAATGCAAAGCATGTCAATGCATGTATAAGCGCACGTTAACATACGTGTTGAACATACGTGTTGAAGTGCCACAACAGACCGCTTTAGGTTAATTGGGTTCTGTGTATGACAGTTCTGTAAGAGCCTTTGGAAGAATAATGAAATTGGGATAGGCGACCTTGGCACGCCAGCTGTTGTGGTACTACAAATCCCACGAGGCATTGCAAGACTCTGGCAACCACAGACATGACTCCTAGAGACATGTGCATGATGGAACTTGTGGTTTTCGCCCACAGCTGGAGTGCAGCGATGTCCCACCCCATTTATACTCGTAGATACACAATACACAGGGTGGAACGCAATCTTATCACATTATTACTCTTCAGCTACTGTTTATTGACTCTGCACTAGATTTACAGGCACATAACTCAGTTCTTATCACCAGGAGCCACCATAACACCGCTCCCCCTCTGACACACACACTACTGGATTTATTATTACACACACATTACTGGATTTATTATTACACACACACAGCAGGAGCTGTAGCTGGAAGCCAATCTGTGTGCGTCATGGCGTCAAAGGGGGCGCGTACGCTGTGGCGTTTGGTAGGCCTGAAAAAGGGGGCGTGGTTTGCTGCTGGAACGTCACTGAGCCTGGAGCGCGTTCACGTGAGGCGGAGGGTAGCCGAGTGCGCGCTCGTCTGTGCTGCCAAGCCCTGGACTGACTGCGGCACCGAGTGAGGGAGAAGAGAGGACGGCGGCACGGGGCCCCTGGTGCGTCACTCTGCCGGCAGGTAGGCGCCCGTTGTCATCAGCTGTGGCCTGCCACTGCGTGTGTGTATGGGGAGCCGAGTTGCTCCTCCCCCCTGTCACTGCTCTCCCCCCCCTAATAGGGCTGTCAGTTGTCCTGGCACTGTGTGTGACCGCTGCCATGGCATTGCCATGTCAGTGCACCTGAGCGTCCATCAGCACCGAGGATGACCCATGTTTATTGTAGTTGCTGCTCAGTTTTGTCATTCATCTACCATTATTCAATATTGTCACCATCTATATCTCAATCTGTCCCCCATAATGCACCTGTGCAGGGCAGCCATTGTGTCCCCTGGGGGCCGATTCACATCCATGCATTACCTCAATGCGTGATACCTGTACTGGGGAACTGCGGTGCCTTTCATTTTAAATAGCTCCCCAATGCACTGCAACATAACATGATGCGTTGCGGCAAAACATTACATGACACGGGCACATTTTAATTTTTGGGGGGGATATTTTGGTGCATCGGAAGCCCATTGATGTCAAAGGACCGCTTCTAACGCAGCGCGTGTTGATATGTCCCATGACGCATAGGCATTAATGCATGGCGCAAATGTCCATGGGCCTTTAGTGTTCCTAATGGTGCCGTTGTGCTTCTTTCTCTCTCTCTCTACCTCAGCTTCTCCACCTCAGCTTCTCCTGAGCCCTGATACCACCATTCTGAATCACCTGGACATGGAGCGGGCGCACATCAGCCGCAGAATTATAATCGGCGTCCAATGTCTGAGCCATCCATAGCTCCTGTAGTCACTCATTACTTCCCATAATTTACACCTGGGGTGTGCAAGTCCTCCAGCTTTGCTTTACCTGCAAATCCCATCATGCATCTGCCTCTGGGTGTCATGCCTGTAACTGTCAGTCTTGCAATGCCTAATGGGACTTGTAGTTCCACAACAGCTAGAGGGCCTGAGTCACCCACCCCTGGTTTAAACCATTCAGCCATCACTTCTTTACGTGTCATAGGTGGCACTGGGGTCATCGTTGAAAAAACCCATCAGTGGCAGCAGTCATAAATGTTCAGTAGGGGGGAGGTGCGGAACTGAGTTCGGCCAAGCCAAACTGTCAGCGACACACTCGGCTCTCGACCTAATTAGTTGCAGTTGGGCTCCTTTATGTGTACTTGCGGGGCTGGAAATGCCCCGACTGCAACTGATTGAGCCGGGGGAGGGGACCTCAGTCACAGTTTGGAGGGGGCATGGGTGAACTCAGCTTTGGTATATCCCTAGGCCCATATAGATGCCCCTGTGCCTCTCTCTCCCATCTCCCTCCCTGTGCTGGGATAGGTTTCCTCCAGTTCCACCCCCCCCTCCCTCCAAACACAGGCTGGTAGGTTAATTGGCTCTGATCTAAATCAGCTAATTCCGAATGACACCCCAACTCTCCTGTAGCGCACCTCACTGTACAGTAATCTACTATCATCTTTGTGGTGCCAAAATGGTGCATGTTTGTTTTGGACAATTTAGTGCGTTGTCAGCCCATTCGAACATTATAAAGAGATTAATACAAATAAATACAATTTATTTATTAATATTTGTAAATAATAATTTAATCCCAAATATTTAGATTCTGGCTGCAGTCCAGCTGTGACAAACCCTCTCGATGAATGCACACGGCTGTAAGTGCCCCTCCACCCCTAGCCCTTATAGTTCTGTGCCCCTCCACCCCTAGCCCTTAAAGTTCTGTGTGACTGACGCATGTTACCGTGCAACGTACCTAACTGTGTGTTATAATGCGGCCGGTGTGTTGTCATTCATTTGGCCTCTGCCAGAAAGAACCTCCGTATAGATATTGGTAAACGAATTGCAGCGGCGTGCATGAGCCCTAAGTCCCTGTCCACACCCAGGCGGTCTGTAAATGTGTGTCAAGTGTTTGCTTTGCCAGAACAAGGTGCATTGTGCTTGGGGTGCCATTACTTGTTAACAGCGCCCCAAATGCAGCCGGGAAAGCATATGTTTTTCCCCACAGCTCCTTTTCCACGTTTGTCCCATGTGCGGCACCCATTGACAACAATGGGCTATGCGAGGCAAAATCGGGAGACAACGTGCGCCAACGCAACATGTGTTCCCGGGAACCCCTTCGCTGTGAACGAGACTGAAGCAGGCCGAGCTTCCCTTCTGCAGATAATACCTTACGCTCTCCATCAGGTTCTGTAATTCTGTTTTATAAATAGCTGCCGCGCGCCATTGTTGGTTCATTATTCACCTTACTGACACCTCTCTTATCTTTCCATCCCTGACTTGTGTCAACAATGCCACTAAAGCCACGCTTTCATTCACACCTTCTTCCTTCATTATCTTCTTCTGTTTTACTCCGGTCACCAGACTCTCTTGTTGTACAGGATTGTAGGTGCAGAGGACGGCTTGAGCAAAAACTCGGGGGGTGGGAGTGGGGCTGCATTTGTAGGACCCCCTCATGGAAATGGGAGCCACCGGCTCGGGCTGGTAGAGAGGCTTTCGGACTTCGCTCACTGGTCACCGGACGATTGTTCTGGGCCTGTGACTTAAATGTTAAAAATGCATTCAAGTACCTTAACTATTAACCAAAATGTATCTTATTTGTGTATCACTCGTCTGTAGATCCTCCAATCATCTCTGAATTGGTGCTGACGCTGTCCTTCCTTCTGGAGGGGGGCTACTTTTGTTCCCCATGGCCCCCGTGTGTGTTGTAAAGTAGTCACCGCTCCAAACTTGCTCCAGTGATGGACTACAATCTCTGCAGGGAGACGATCGGGAAGTGAGCGGATCGGCTGCATGTTACTGCTCACTTCCCGATCTATAGAGCCGAGGTGTGACGGTTTCATTGTCACACGTTGGCTCCATCTATGAGGATCAGTGTAAAGGAAGACATTACATTGACAAGATGGTGAGGAGGATCTTGCCTTGTGAAGGATTTCCTTTAATAATTGGCCTCCGGAGCACAGAAGTCCTTCCTTCAATTTTTATTTATTTCGATTTCTCTTCTACATTCGAAACCATTTCTCTCCCAATGAATTCTCTGGTCTCCGAGGATCCCTCTGCAATCTGTCACAGTACCCCCTCCCCCAAAGGAAATCTTCTTTTACAGTTACCATCCCCCTCCACATCCCTCCCCTTTAAAATCTCCAAATCTGTCACAAGTCACCGTCCCTTTTAAATGGCCTTCTGCTGTCCTAGAGGTGACCACAGACATTAGATGCTGATTGCTGCGCCGTTCAAGTGGTAATTGACCTTTATGTGACCATGTCTGCACATGTAGGCAATCGTCCTCGGGGTCCCCTTTGGTTGTACGGGCTCATTACTGGCCCCCCAATGATGAATCTGGAAATAGGAATATCTGCTTTGTAAAAGCCGTGGCGTCCGGCCTTCCTACCACCCACCTATACTACTGATAGCTCCGTCCTCTGACAGTGTCCAGATGTCTTCCAATAACTGGCTTTTCATTTTCTAGACCAGGGGTGGGCAGCTCCGGCGCTCCAGCTGTTGTGGAACTACAACTCCCATGAGGCATTGCAAGGCTGACGGCTACAGGCATCACTCCCAGAGGCATTGGTTCAGCACAGCTGGGGGGGCCAGAGTTGCCCACCCCTGATCTAGGCGTTATCTGTCCCCAATATCTTTGTTTCCTTCTCTTTCAGCTTACCTCCCGCGTGATATTTATAGAACTAGGACATAGTAATCATAAAATATATTGCAACATTTCCGCCGCCTTTCTGTGCACTCCTCCCCCACATTTATATTGCCAATCTATACTGGCTTTAGCTAGATATCCGTTAGGTGTATTATATCCTACCGTACGTGTCAGCGATTACCGGTGGAGTCAGCATTTGGCATCAGATAACCGTTTTATGTTATTCTAGAATTCTCTCGGATCAGGTTCCTATGCTTTTTGCGGCATTGGGCCTTTTCTATCAAGGAATCGTATTCAGGGTCGGATTTCCCACGAAGCCACCACCGACCTCGGGCAGGCAGGGAGTAGAGGGGCAGTAGAGGCGTGGAATTCCTATCGCCCGACGCCCGGGACATGCAGTTTCCGGGCCCCGGGCGGGTAGTTTTTTTTTCTTTTGTATTTAGTACTGCTTTGGGCTAGCAGCAGGGCAAAATGTAGAGCGGGGAAGCTGCAGCTCATTTTGTACAAGTGATCTCAGCGATGCCGAGATCACTTGTATTTAGCCTGCCCGTCCATCTGCCCCCACTTCCGTCTGCCTCCCTCCCCGCCTTAATTTTTGGGGTCCCCTGCTTTTCTGGGGGACCTGGCACCATGGCAAGGTAGTTCAGGATAGAGAGCGGGGTGTAGAGCGGAGAACGTCCGTTCAAAAAAGAGAACCTGTCACCTCCAAATGCTATCACACATAGGCTTGTTAGCTCCTGTGTGCTAAGTGTAAGTTAAGTGAAAATATAAATAAATAAAAATTAATAAAAGCGAAAGATAATAAGAAATAATATTTCAAAAAAAGTGATAAAGTTAAAAAAAATTATAATATAAAAAAAGGAAAAGATAAATAAAAATTTTTTTGTAAATGAAGAAAAATACAAAAAATGAAAACCAACCCTGCCGCCCCCGGGGGGTTGGCGGGTAGGGGGGCGCATCGAGGAACCTGGCCTTGGGGCAGCAGAGAGAGTAAATCCGGCCCTGATCGTATGTGTTGCTTTCAGCAACCAAATTCTTTCTGTCGGTCTTAGGAGACGCCGTGGATCGCTTTTCAGCAGGCGGTAGAACAGCGGCTGCCCGGCGTTCAGGAGGCGATACTGCCACCCCCCTGAATGCCATTTTTTTCATCTCAGTGAGGATTTTTTTAATTGCAATAGAGCGCTGCAACCTTGTGCCCACGCGTTTGATGCACAGCCCCGTTGATTGTAATGGTTGCGTTCGCCAAGCAGCACAGCTTGCTAAATGGGACAAACTGTTTAAAATGTGCC